TTCTATCCGTTTCTAACGGAATTTTTACCAGGGAAGGTTTGTCCTGTACGGGATAACATAAATATATTTCGCAAGCTTTCTAATATTTCTACAAGGTTACCGAAACATTGTCGGCGAAATATTACAATTGAATGTCTCTGTACCGGCTGTGCAATATTACATTGCAACTTGCAGTGTTGCAAATGTTTCTAAAATGTTTCTGAAAGCTTTGGTGGCGTGTGGGAAATTTTTCGACTTTTTGAAATCATCAAGTTTAAATCTGTAGTACGAGCTCTCGTCGGATTGCGATAAACACCCGTCATTATCGCGTTCGAGACAAACAGCCATTCGTGCCATTTGATAACAAGTTCGGTCGTTGAGTGCACTTGAGCTCTCGGATTGTTCTAAGAAGCGTACAAGTTGCTTTTCCGAAGAAAGTCGAGGAAATGAGGCCAAGGTTATCGCGGTTTGGACAGTTGGCAAGTTATGATGGCAAGAGCACTCGCTTGCAAAACGATTAACGAATAATGAAAGAGTCGAGTTTGATTTCTACAGAATTACAGTATTATGGGGCATTTAAGAATCGGTCCTGCGAAAATATCACTGCACCCGTGTGAAAGCGCCCCGAGGAGAAGAAAAAGTCAGGATGATGTCAATTTGATGTCATATTGACCACATTTATGTCAAATTTTGGTCAATTTAATGCCATATTGTCCAAAATTTGACATAAATGTGGTCAATACCCACACAGCATCGAAATATTTCAGAAAGCTCTCAAAAAGCTGTCAATGAAATATGAAACCTTTCAAAAAAAATATTTCAGACATGTTTCAGATACATGAAATGTCCGCGTAGATGAGATATCATAAATGTTTCTGAAATATTTCTGAAATGCTTCAGAAATATCTCTTAAATGCTTCGGAAATATTTCTGAAATGCGTCGGAAATATTTCTGAAATGCTTCGGAAATATCTCTTAAGTGCTTCGAAAATATCTCTTAAGTGCTTCGGAAATATCTCTTAAATGCTTCAGAAATATTTCTGAATGATTTCTATATTACATTTCAATATTAATTTCCAAGTTATATGTTGGATAGCTTTCAATAATATATGTTTTAGAGATTACGTACGAAATATTTCTCTGAAATGTGTTTCGTAATATTTCTGAAATATTTCAGTGAGAAGGATCATAAATGATTTCGATGAAACATTTCAGAGATATTTCTGAATGATTTCAATTTTACATTTCAATATTAATTTCCAAGTTACCTTTCGGAAAGCTTTCTAAAACTTGTTTTGCTGTGTGGGTATGACATCAAATTGACGCCATCCTGACTTTTTGTTCTCCTTGGGGCGCTGTTCCCCATTTATAGAAAAAGGGCTGTGCCCCACAAATGAGAAACAATTTCCTCCAATTATCTAAACGACGGTGATTACGAAATATTGGTGTTACTTTTTAATTATTTACGAAAGATGAAAGTGCCCCCATTTATAGAAAAAGGGCTGTGTCCCACAAATGAGAAACAATTTCCTCCAATTATCCAAACGACGATTACGAAATATTGGTGTTACTTTTTAATTATTTACGAAAGATGAAAGTGTCCCCATTTATAGAAAAAGGGCTGTGTCCCACAAATGAGAAACAATTTCCTCCAATTATCCAAACGACGGTGATTACGAAATATTGGTGTTACTTTTTAATTATTTACGAAAGATGAAAGTGTGGAATCTTGTATGACGTACAGTATCCATTTTCATCCGCCGGAGCTCTTTGATATCGCACACGTGCAAACTGTGTTAAAGTTACAGATATTTCGCTTTTTCTTTTCTCTCTTTTACTTTCTTGTATATTTAACGAGTGTATAATATCTCAACGGTGCGAAATCGTATTATCCTCGAAAGGGGAGTAAGCTGTCCGTATGAATCGCGATCGCGGGATCCTCATTGTCGAAGAGAGAGGGAGAAGAGAGATAGGAAGAGAAGACACGAGCCGTACCTACGGAACGGAGCGATACAGCGATATTTAAATCCCCCTCCGCCGGCCGCGCTCCCCTTTTCGAAGAGAAAGAACCCGGCGGCTCGGCCAGACTCGGCCGCGGCCGACGCTTCGCCGTGGACGCCGCCGAGTCGCGTCGGCGGGAAAGGTGACGAGTCGGGCGAGTGGCGAATCCGGCGAGAGCGCCGGGAGCGCGAAAAAAGGATCCGGCGCGGACTGGCGCGGCCTCCGCGGCACAGGGACGGCACTCGCGGTAGGTAGTCGTCCGCTCGGGGTGCGCTAGTGCGGAGAGGACGGCGGCGCGGTCGATCGTAGTCGAGTGGTCGCTGGTCGCGGCGGCGCATGGTCCGTAAGCTTGGACCGTTTCGCCTCCCCAAGCGGTGGATCCCCGCCGGAGAGTCCTGAAACTGGAGTCGACCAGCGCGTAAGATGGCCGCCTGAGGACGGCGTCGAGGACCGAGGAGAGCACCACCGTGCGCGCCATCGATCGCCTCGGTGCGATCGACCTCGGGACTCGAGGGATATACGTTGGCTCGGGGGGGAGTCCTTGGCGGCCGGTCGGGGTGAGTGACTGAGCGCGCTCCAAGTGCCCGTGGACGTTGTCACGTGCGTGCCTGTGCCTGTGTCCGTGCCTAAGCCCTAACGATTTAAGTCTCCGGACCTCTTTCCGGAGCGTTAGAGCGCTCGAGGGAAACGATGCTCCTTCGTGCGCCTCGTGTTTACATATCGTTCCTCGAGAAGGCAGCGCGGGGAGCTCCGTTGGAGGTAACGCTGAGAAATAATAGAAACATTCGCCGCGCGTTCTCCGCGCCGTCCTTTATCGCCGCTCTTGGCCCGCGTTGTACCGTGCACGAAACACCGTAGAATTAACATTTTTCCCGAGTATATATACGTATATTCCAAGTGGATTATATTCCTCAAGTTCGGTCCGCCGAGCGCGAAACGTTCATCACGCTCGTCAGGCTATATAAAGTCCCACTCGTTTTAGGAAGTGGAAGGCGTTTTAACGCGCCGGCGGACGTAACGGAGAATCCTGGCCCCGGAGGTCCGTTACCTCCGCGAAGGAGGTGAGAGAGCGAGGTGGGTAGAAGATGCGCCGCGGTCCTGTTGATTTCCACGATTTTACCTGCACTGGCGCGATTGCGGGAGAAGGAGAGGGGACGTTGATCAACGTGTCCGCGGAAGAATGAAGAATTAACAATTGTGGAACAGTCACTGCCCGCCACGACTGCGCTAAAGTGCTAACGTAAACCGCTTGCGGTGTCGTGTACGCGCGCAAAAATATCTCGAATTAATGCGAAGCAAAGCAGTTCGGCTTCGAGCGAGAGAATGTCGCGCGCGCGCGTTTGATCCAATACTAATATATAAAAAAAAATGTATATATATATAAAGGATTTTCTCCAGAGTGAAATTCCACAAAGTTAGCTCGGTGTGAAACGAACAAGTGCTCGACACCGAGGAGACTTGGTATGCGCAAGACGACAGAAAAGGGAAATATCGAGGTCGACGTGAACTGGAGAGGAACCGTGCTCGCGAGAAATCTCACAATCGGTAATATCGATTGAAATTTCACGCATTTATGCGAAATAACAGACGCCGCCGATTTCTTTTGCGCTGCACACGAGCACACGAAGTCGGTGGGTGAAGAAAGTCGACTTTGCGCGAGCGTCTTCGTCAAGGAATCGACGAGGATTGGCATTCATTCAAGTGTACTTGACACACGGGGCACTTAAATGGGGAGATAATCGATTTAATATCAAGGTGCAGGTGCAAGCTAACACTCGGCCGACGGGGGATCGTTGGAAGCGGCACGGAGTGGGCTCGCCCGGATGGGAGTATCGCCGCCGAGGGTGGCACTTGCTCCGGGCCGCGCCTTCCGCTAGGAAACGATAGATGGAACGCAGGGCCGACAGATACGGCGCGAGGGAGATGCGCCATTCGCGCAGTGAGGATCTGCTGGGCGCGATTTCCAGATCGCCCAGCCCGTGCGTCGACTTGCAGACCACGGCGTCCGAGGACGATCTAATCGCGGCCAGCGCCCTCCGGGACTCGGGCATCTACGACGAGGCTAGCCCCGGCGTCGGCATCGCCGGGCCGTCGCGGCGCATTCTCTCCTCGTCGTCCAGAACGGTGGGAGTGCCCGTCGACCCGGAGGACTCCATCCGCGACATCGTCACCGACAACGATCTCTACAGGTCAGTACGGAATAACCCAAGGAGAGAGCTTGAAGGGCGCTTGCCCCAGGGAGAACAAAAAGTCAAAATGATGTCAGGATGACGGGAAAACATCAGAGTTTCACCACTGAAACTGTACGGCTTCAAAATGACCATACAGTGACTCGTCATAAAATCACTATATAATATTTTGACTTTAAGGATTTTAATTCAGTGTGCATATTTTTGAAAATATAATTTTTTTTAGAGAAGATTGCCTGGCACTTATTCATTGAAATTATCTTGTATGTATATATGCATATATATAAAATTTTATAGTATAATATATTATAGATACAAAAAATTGTATGTATATTGTATATATACATTGTTGAAAAATGAATGTGAATTCTCTCATATCCTCTGAGAAAAAATATATGTATTAATTTGTGTTATTTTAATATAACAAATCATTAAAAAATAAATTCTTTTTCATATAATCCTAAATATAAATATATTACTAATTTATATACTGCGTAGGAAAAAAGTCGAGAGGACCGTGTTTTGACGTCTTTAGGACGCTACAAAACCGTGTTTGCCAAGGACCATAATGACGTCATCACGACTGATATACAACTATGACTTTTGAAAGATGCCATTTTGACTTACGTGTTCTCCTTGAGCGAAAATTATACAATTTGCATATGTTTTTTTAAGCAGAACGTTACCCGCGCACTTTCTACTATGATGTATGATGTAACACGATTTTTTACTCTCTATTATTTTACCTATTACGTCACCATCTTGTTAATATAAAAATATAGCGAACCCCGAAACGGAAGGTCGAGGATTGCTTTCGTCTGCAAATTAGGTCCACGAAAGGATAGCTAACGTACATAAATTAAGAAATGTCGCAGAGGAATAATAATCGAGATTCAAATTAGAAATATCCTCGACAAGGATAATCCTTTCCCAGCAACGATGGTAATTATAAACTTGTTAGTAGTTATTGGAATGACCGATCGTTATCGTTTTCATCACGAAGGAATCTTTGTTAAGGTCGAGCGGGAAACACACACACGCATATGCGTCGCTAATAATCTTTTACTGCCAAAGTTACCTTTATCAAGTCGGAATATTGCCGATTACTCAACGCTCGATGCGAGGACGGCCTTGGTGCCACAAGGAAATCATTACAATCTCTGCTCATCTACGCAATCAAGAAACGGAAACAAGCGTCGTTTCTTTTCTAAACGATCGGGAGTGGCTTCCTGGAGTCGTGCTTACTCGACGGGATGAATCGAATATTATTTTTATCGGCGCTTTTATTATTTTGCAATGCGAAACAACAATATTTGAAGGGCAAGATGATAATAACAATGCACAATATTTTCATTACCGAAAGTATTGTGGCATACGTGGGCGTGTTTGGAAACATGTCGGGCTTAAAGAAATTAATGCGCTTGGAACGTACCCAAGTAGAACGTATTAGTCATGAAAGCATTAAGGTGGCATCATTTTTTAATCATTTTTTATGCATCATGGTGACGGCAAAATAGCCCACCGAGAGCACCTATTTGTGACGTCATTAAGACATCAAAATGTTGTAAAAATGATCTTCTTTTACAAAGCAAAGTTAATTAAATATTATACGTTAAAAATAAATTGAAGTAATATAAGATAAACATAATATATGACTGATCGTGTAAATCTGTAATAATATTGTATAATATATTGTACACATCACGAATATCATAAAACAGCATGTCGTAAATCAGTCATTGCAAAGTAAATCGTGATGTCGATCATTTTATGACTTAAAATTCCTCATTTTAATGTCACATTGACGTTTTTTTTTTGTGATCAACTTGTTCTACTTGGGTAAATAGCCTATCTAATGATTGTGTCATCGGCTATCGAATGCGCGTCGCAGCCTTGATGCGAGCTTCGTATTTCCGGAGACCCAGATGACTTTCGCGGTTCGCAACTCGTCGAGATGCGCCTCGTGACTGTCGTGAGGCCAGCCAAAGCCAGTCCGATCCCACTTGCTCATCGGCTGCCGGAAGAAATTGTGCGCGCCTACGACCGGAACGCTGGCTGGCTGGTTGACTGGCTGCCTGACTGCCTGGCTGCCTGCGAAGCGTACGAATCAGTCCAAATCTGCCCGAACGACGCTGCCGGCCGCGCAAAAGCGAAAGTTCGCGGGGACCAGTTCGCTGGCGAACGTGAGCGAGCGAGCGAGCGAGCGAACGCGCGAACGAGCGAGAAGCGGAGAGGAAGCCTCTCGACACGCGGTGAAATCGATTTCGAGCGCGAGACGTGAAATCCGAAGGCCTAAGGGCCCCAAGTGGGATAACGGCGTGTGCACATTCGTTTCTTCCGTCGAATAATAATTGCTGCGAACAAATCGCAAGTCCTTCGTAGATGGCTGATATTGCGACGCACAGCGACAACATGTACGACGAGAGACGCGTATCCGCGTATGTTATACATGATTCTATGGAGAGAGAGTTTAATAGGTCCTTTTACAACATCTTCGGCCTTGTCGAAGTTTTTTCGTTACATCTCTTACATCTATCTAACGACGCATTCTTTTTCTGCAACAGGTATGTCCTGTTCAAGCGGCATTACGACAAGTACGTGGACCTCGCGGAAAAATACAAAGAGGCGAAGAGTGTCGCTTACTACCTGGAGGAGCGCTATCATGAGATCAAGGTATGTGAAAGCGTTCCTGCTTCACAAAAATCTCGACTGCACAATTCAACCTAACGTTTTACGGACAATTTGATGCGGCGTGAAATTTTCTTTTTCTACTCCAACTTACTGCGTACCTTATGCGCGTATACAACGTGTCCTGGAATTAATAGCGCAAAGAAAAAGCAGGAAGAGATGAGCGGAATAAAATTTTTTTATTCACGCGAGGTTTGCTCTCCAGAAACAAGAGCATACAAAAATACATATCTTTGTATTTTTTTGCGGACTGACCGAATCTTGTTAGCGCCAATTCATTATGATAGATGGCATTCACTCCTCCGTGCTTTTGTGCTATTTTATAACATACAACAAAGGAAAATTGTACCGGGCTTTCCCACGTTAAATCGCGATAGCTGCTTCATTGTTAGAACAGCATGATACACCTATTCCCACGGTACATTTTGTTACTATTGTTGAAATAATTTGATGGGTTCTCGCAATTTCATTTGCGTATTCTCGCCGTCTTTACAAAACTATTTCAACACCAATTTGAAATGCATTACCGTCTCTTTCATTTTACTCTTCTTTCTTTAAATCAATTGTGTAATGCGATCGACTTCCCTGCGCTTTCGGCCTCCCTTGTGTGCTATCTTGTAATAGACGATGAAAGCTACATTGCGTTTTGTTGTTTTTCCACAATGAAAAATAATAATCGTTGCGAAAAAAATTGCTTCAGAAACTAGAAATCTTTTCAATTTGCCGCCAAGTTCCTTTAATGTTTTTACCTCTAATTATCTGATTTTCGTTACGAGGAAGAACGTCGGTGAAATTTTATCGTTGATCAGTGTTACGCGCATAATGGTGACACTCGCGATTAATCTAGTGTGATTCTTGTAAAATAGAGAATGCTATGCGAAATATCTCGTTGCTCTCAAGCGTTGCTCTTTTAATCTCTCGACAGAAGTAACGAGACAGCCTTGCAAATTAGTGGCCATGTTTTCCATCTTCTAATTCGTGAAGAGAAAACGTGAGACAATATAAGATTCCTGGCGTCCGATGAAGCCAAATAAGAGTCGAGTAGTTCTTTGTGGCCTAACGCGGAAGACAAATCGCATCCTGCATGAGCGCTAATGTGATTTGTGTCGCGACGATAATTATCGAGATGCACCTGGATCTCTTCCGCGATCTCTTAGCGATCTCACGATGATGTTATCTCGCCGTTTGATTGCGAGTCAGTCTGGCACAGTGAAATCGAGTTTCCTTTCTTGTAGCGTTACCCGCGAATTGTATTTTCGTGAAACCGGAACAACATCCGCGAGGGGACGAACCTTGTGAGAAAAGAAGCGATCGATAAGCAAACTTATCCATCCCCATATCTCTTGATGTGCGATTTGGCATTTAGTCCATTTGTCTTTTATTTCACTTTTCGGCCGCGCATCCTCCGACTCGTTTTCCGCTTCATCTTTTCATTACGGGACTTTCTTTGGGATCGACATTCCTCACCTCATTTCCCAGATGAGATTTCTCCATAAGATTGAATGAGGCGTGACTCGAAAAAAGGATTGCGGTTTGACACACGAGCTCCGATGTCGATACTTGGTATTTTTCTCCGCAGCATCCTGTTTTCCCGGTGCTCCACACCTCGTTCATTTAATTGCACGAAAGTTTGTACAGTTACGTGCAAGTTGTAGCGCATCGAACAGTTCATGCGAATCAATGAAAAACAAGATAGACCTAATTTAAGAATCAAGGGTCAACAACGATAATACAATTCTGGCAGTGCTCTCCACTACAGCCAACGAAACGTGATAAACAATATTATTTTTAATGTGTGATCACGTCGCCTTATCGCTAGCCCCGTTTCCTCTCATTTATATATTATAATTTAGTTGGCCAATTTTCTCTGATAGGTTTCGGAATTTTAACGATAAAAGCTGCTAATTTTTCATCGAAGCAAGTTTTCTTGATACTTAATTTTACGAATATTCGTCACACGTATCTCTTTGATCTTAGAGCGCTATTTTACCTACATTTTGCCTTTGAACATTCTATGTCAGCTGTGTGTTTCATACCGATAAGTAAAGATTTAATAAGTTTGCTTCGCAAACATCTATTACGGTAGTTATAACATTTTCACTAATTATATAATCCACGTAATTATATACGATCCACGTGTTGTTTCCTCTCGGTATTTCCGGCTTGCTATCTTCTTGTTCCTCGTCGTAAGAAAAACTTGCCAGAAGAGCCTGGCATTCTCGGTGCGCCATAGCTGGCGTTCATCAACCTCTCTCCAGCCTCGCTTTACCTACCTAGTTGACCTACAATGTGGCTGACTAGCCAGCCACCGCTAGACAGAACTAAAAGTGGCAGGGGGAAGTGCTGAGTATGCGTCATCGGCGGTTAGTGTCATGCAATTGCGTCAAGTCGAGCTATATAGACGCGGGTCACTGACGATTGTCAACGCACATCGATGTCGATTATGCAAAATCGCTGAATAAAATCGTCCCAAGTACTTCTGGAACGGAATTTCTAACGGGAAGGCCGGTCACGAATTTTCATACAACGGAATTAAATTGCCTAACGGATCTAAAATTTCAAGATGATGCCGATGTACAGCTTACACAGATTTACATTTTACATAATCGTACCATAAGTTCTAATCCTAAAAAAATAGATTTAGAATCATAACTAGAATTCATAGCTAGAATAAAAAAGCAGCATGAAATGTGTTGTTATTAAATTGACCAATTATAATATGGATATAAATCACAACTATTAAAAATACTCACCTTTGACTTTATAAATCTCGTCAATCGGTCGGGGGTACTTTCACCAGATCGGCTTTCAGAGCTGATTTGAGTTTCTATAAGGCCGAGAACAAGTCTTTTCGTTTAATTCTCAGAAGGTCTCAATACAAGCTTTTATTAGAATTTTAAAATATCTTATTCTTCAAAGTCGCGTTGGAGTGGCTTATTTTGAATGTTTATATTTTTTGGTCCTACTTTCGTGTCTAGGGACTCCAAAACCTTTAAAAATTATCAAACTAAATATGTTTCTCTTCTCCAAAAAGGTCAAACGTAAAAGAATTAAGAAGCTCCATATATCAGATGTAAGATATCACTTTCAAAAATATTTCTTATTGTTAGACTAACACTTATTGTTAGATTAGCTCTTTAACTGCTGACGTTATTTTATTTCTTCACAAAATTTCCATTTTTCTCACGAAATTCTGTTTTTGAAGGTCGAACGAGATAGGTTGGAGGAAGCTCGAAGGCGTTTGGAAAGACGGCTGGAAGGTTGCGAGACGGAGCTTCGTGGCAAGGAGGACGAGCTCTTCTTGCAGCTGGAGAGGAGTTTGCGGCTGGAAGAAGAGATCGAACGGGCCAAGGCCGAGAGGGACAGCTATATGGAGGCGCAACACCGACTGGAACAACAACGGGAATCGGCTTTTCGTCGTTTGCGCATGCAGCTCGAGCAGAACGACGTCACGAGACGGGATCTCGAGAGAGCGCGCCAAGATGTTATTCGCCAAGCTACTATTATCCGTATGGAGAGAGACACCTTGGAAAGAGAGGTGAGTGTTTAAATTAAGAAATATGTTACTTTACATTATTTTATCTTAGAAAACCTACGTTTTCTTTACCTTAATACATATGCTCAATCTCTGAAATTCGCGAATCGTTTTCTTTTCTCGTGTGCTTCTCTCTCACATGTCCCTTGACACATAATATACGACGTTGATCGAGATTCTCCGTTTCTCTCGATTGTTTCCTCCAGAATGAGATGTTGCGGCAGAGATTGAGGGTGGAACAGGACGAATTAGGAGCGGAGCGACGTCGCCGGGAAGAAGGCGTCGCGGCATTAACGAGAGAGACTATCGCATTGAAACATGCGACACGTCACTTGAGTGCCGCGACGTTTCATGCAACGTCCTGCCGGAATCGTCGTCGATGTTCCATCTGCATATACGCTAGACGCACCTTTGCCAACATTGATAATTATCGTGACAAGTGGGTAATATCAAAATTTTTATCGGGAGAAAGCGAGCTGGTAATCGGCGTCCGAAGACAAACGTATCATATCGACACTTTGTTCTTGCTCTTTGCAGTGGGAATCTCTTGCAGTGCCTTCAAACGCCCTTACAAGATCTTCGTAATTGGTTACGACCTAGCGTGTCGGCCTGTTCCTCTCGAATTCCGCAAATCGAGTCATCCATTGCCGATCGGGAAATTTCTTACATCGACGACTCTAGTGTTGACAGTAGCAGTAACGGCAGTACTAACAGTCGCAGCTGCAGTAGCAGTACTAGCAGTAGCAACAGCGCTTACGACGATGATCCATATCCAAGCATACCGATAGCCGAGCCTTCTCTTTCGTCGGCCACTTCTGGCAGCGTCCCGCATACAGCCAGAGCCTTTTCCTCGGATTCAGGGTTTGTTCAACTGAAAACAATTATTACAATAAAGGTGATAACGACACCTGAACATTCGACCGCACCTATTTTCTTATTTAGGTTTTCCTCAGAGATAGGAGATCGTAGATCGCGATGTTTCGACAATGTTGGCAGCAGTACTAGCAGTAGCAGTGGCAAGAGCAGAAATATCAGCGAGTCGTTAGACAGCAACGAAATCGACGATCAGGGTGCGAGTGGAAGAGACGGGCTTATCCGCTCGAGATGGACTTCCTCCTTCCGTAGACTACTCGGGCGGAAATCGAAGAGTAAGCTCGACCGTTCCTCAGGAACAAGCAAGACTGATGAACCACAATGAATTATTTGTACTGAAAGAAAGACTCAACGTACATATACATTTAACCCGTCCTCCTTTCTCTTTCAAAACAATCTGCTAAAAAGCACTCTGCTAAAAAATTCAGTTCTTAATTCGAAATGAAGCAAAGTCTTTGTGAACTTATTGAATTCTTTTTATAGGAAGGTGTTGAAACTGCCGAAGCTTGCATTTTTTTAAAATAAGAGACGCAGGTGAATTTATACATATATGAATTCAGGGATCTCCAGGGAATTATTTAAGAGATTAAACCATGAGTAATACATGTTTTCTTGAAATTATTTGTCTCCAGAGATATAGTCGGGATTTAATTCTCTTGAGAAGATTATGAACTATGTTAAAAATAATTCAGAAAACAATGCAGGTATCTTGTAAAATATTAGAAATAATGTACAATTACTAAAGTTTTTTCATTTGTTCCTTTACTCGATAATGTTTCACGTCAGGAATTTTTTAGTAAAAAATAATGTATTCCAAGATCCATAAATTCCAAGTGTAGATTTTTATCTATGATGTAGGAATTGAATATTTAATAAGTTAAAGAGAATTATATATAAATACATATATGTAAAGGAGTTAAATTATTAGAAATCAAAGTTTACAAATATTTATTAGAAAAGTGTATAGATGGGTTTTAAAGGCTTTGAATTTTTTAATGTAAGAGTTTTTTATATTTTAAAACATATAATAATTTTAAAAAATTCAGTTCGAATTGAGCTATAATATAATAGAGAGATGTTACTGTTTGCATTCCGAAAGTTTCTTCTGTTGTTACGTTTTATTGTTGTCACGGCGAGTGTTGTATTTGCCAAAGAACACAATGGCTTAATAAGCATTATCGATTAATCGCCATTTAATTAACAAATTTTAATTAGTGACATTTTTTTTGTTCTTTACCAATATTATATTGTTTGCGATGAAAGAAGAACCAGTCCTTTAAATACGTGTGGTGAAAATGGTCGGACCAAACTGCTGATATGTCACAATCCTGTTACGATATTGTTGTGAAATGTAGAAAATTTCAGTATGAATATTACACAAATAAAAGTATAGTATACGATGAAAGGCGTTTTTTTAAATACTTTTTAAATATTCTACAAATTGAAGAATTTCCTAAGAATTAACATTAAATATTCACAGTTCAACAATAATTACAAAATGAACGGGAGGGAATTGTGGGATTGTTATTGATCTGAAAGAAATGTATTTAGAAGCAAATCTAAGCAAAATGTAATAATACATGTCGACACTGGAGAGGGCAAACATAAATAACATCATGAAATATTTGCGAAATTCTAATTCAAGTAACAAAATAAATATCTCTATTAATACGAACATGCGATTAATTATACTCAGAATTAAAAATTATTTACTGCTTTAAATATCTGTAGGAGTTACAATTGTCTGAATTGGCATTTACGAGTAACTCAATCTTATTATCAATCATGTACCTATTATTTGCTATCTGTCATTTATTATCTAACTTTATCAGTCCCCGATTTAAAATAATTCATTTACTTTGTTTTTGATAAAGAAAGGAAAAATATCTTATCCATCTGTTATCATTATTGTGTAATCTATGTAGAAATGTTAAGCTTACGAGCAAATAATTGCTCATCGCTGAATTCGTAGGAAACGCTGCGATATATGATACGCATTTTAAAAATCCGCGAAGTAACACTTTAATCCAATTACGATTAATTTAATCGGCGATTAAACTAAACTTATTTATTAAAGACACCTATTATTTTGTTAAGATATAATAGAATTAAGGTATATAAGTAGATATTAATTTATTGTTTGATACATAGAAGGAAAATTAGATTAGCAAGGATGAATTATACAGAGTTAGAAATCACGTAAGTAATTCTGCCCATTGAATCGATCGCCGATTAAATTAATGAAAGTTTGACTGAAGTCGTTCTAACAAGACAAAGTTGCGATTCGAATGTAGGAAGAGAAAATGGGATGCCTGTATTAAAATTTGTACTTAAATACATATACATATATCTAAATACAAAATTTCTTTTCAGTTTTTTGATTGAAAGAGTCAGAGAGGTACGAAGTAATATTATTATCTTAATTGTTCCTCGAACGTTTCCGTTTTTGGATCTTCGATCAGCAACATGTTGCGACTTCGTGACGTATTCTGTTCGTTTATTTGCCAATACGTTCCCCCATCCATGTTAATCCCGCCTTCGAGCAGAGAACCGATATATAGAACCAGTGTATTATCCACATGTGCTACACTCGTCGCTGATAACTCCACACTCCTCTAGTGCGAGTTTGGTACGCGTCGTGAGCATTCGGGCGTTCTCCAACGAGCATTCTCTGACGCAACAGGTACGCGCTTACTTATTAATAGATTAGAGCCAGATTGAAGAATGTACGAATTCGTAAGCAATCAGCTATGCTCCTCGCACGTAGCAAAAAGAATAAAGTTTTTGGCGGAACTTGCCGCGAAGGAATAGCTTGTGTTTGAAGGATAGATAGATTAAATATTGATTTTGAAGTGAAGTTATTGTAAGTCTCCTTGAAATGAAGATTCGCCACCGTGACTTAAAAGTAACACTACTGCAGTTAGAATTAATACCGTGTGATGCATGTGTGCAAATTGCTTACTCTCTAATTACTTTTAATATGAATGAATAATAATTGTTTTGCACAAAGATTTATTTTAAGCTATGTCTAGGTGTGTTTAAGAAACTATGTCTGAAAAACATTAAGGGGCTGGTGATTAAATAAGAGAGAGAGACGGAGAAGGAAAATAAAACAGGAATGATATAGTTTATCTGGTACGATTCGCATATCTAATTGCTTAAACTATTCATAAAACACGATATCAGGGAAAAACAAGAAATGAAAAAAGGGGAAAAATTAAAGAAAAAAAAGTTTAAATATGAAGTATAAGCTGGCTGCTGTACTGCGCGTTCATGATTGCTTTTAAGAGGCGAGACACAGTCAGCTTTTCTTATCGGTTATCTCTGTTAAAAAATGGCCAACAACTTGTTGAAGGTGACGTGAATGCTTAGTTTACTCAATTCATGATATTGAACAGATCGATTATTCAAAGGACACGTACCCATTTTTTACGAATTGAAAACATTCCGCGAAATTTTATATAACTGCCAAGATATGACAAGATTTTAATTTTGTTATATACACTCATAATTAGAAAAACAAAATAGTTTTTCCAAATATAATATATATAACTGAAGTTTAAGTGAACTAGTTTCAGAAAGTCATAAAGACGAAAATATTGTAAAAACTAGCAAATAATTTTAACAACTATCGAAATAAATAGTCTCAGCGACGAATGCGATGTTGAATATTAACATGTATGTACGATCTAGGTCGAGAATCATCAAACAAAACATTTTTGTCTCATATAGTAAATTGTTATATTATTTTAGAGAAACAGTTGCGTATACTGAAAAAATTTGGTTTCATTTTATTGCCTGTATGATCATTGCGATTATTAAGAAACTGCACCTTCCCACTCAAGTATCTTATCTTTCTTCACGTATCTATTCTTTTTCTCTCTTATCACTTTTTATCTCCACTCGAGTAGACTCATGTATGAAAGAACAAAATTGCCAGAAATTGATGTTATAAAATTGATATTAATTTAAATTAATAAGCATAGAAGGGTAATAAGAGCCAAACGCTAGGTGTTGGGTGCGGATGTAATATGAGATTTAATGTTTAATACAGTGAACAAGTTAAATATGAACAAGTTGAACGATTCGATCAGCCAATGTGATTCTTTTCAATGACATCTAACATATAACAAATTTGATTATTTGTATCGTAACATTAATAATTAAAGATAAAATATAAATCGAGAGCAGAAGTTATACAAATGATCGTTACAACACAATACGTATGTCGCTCTATATGACAAATAAACGTTCTCACCCGGTGATGGATATCGAAAGGCTGTGCTCACATTGCAGTACGCAAGAGTATCGTCGAATACTTCGTACGGTATTAGGGAAGACATTTGTTACTACACGTATTCGGTTATCAGTAACCGAACACTCATAGTTCTTTAGATAATTGCGTTTCAAAGAAACGTCTCGCACACGGAACACGATCTCTCTACAATCTCAACTGCATAATGGACTCACTTGCATACACGGAGCGATACAAATAATCAAATTTGTTATATGTTAGATGTCATTGAAAAGGATTTGGTTGAACGAAACGTTTGACTTGTTCAACTCTATTTAACATTAAATCTCATATTACATCCGCACCCAACACCCAGAGTTTGGCTTTTATTGCCTTTCTATGCTTATTAACTGAAATGTTGATAAGAATTATTTCCATTTCAGTTATTTTTTCAAAATTTTAAAGCACCTTTCAAAATCAGGGTTTCTCTTTTTATACAAAAATATTTTTTACTCATGAGACATTCTTCAGGTTTTATTTTAGAAAAGTGTGGTGGTTGCAGCATTAACTTTATCCTCGTACTGCATGTATCATTCATAGCCTAGAAAAAAAATGATTTGAATAAAGAAGCAGGAGGATCTTCACGCCGATTTCTTTTAACTTGTAAATTTCTACATTCCTATTTCTATCACATTCCATGTAATGACTATTTTAACAGAAGTTAATAAAAGAAATATATGTGTATTAAATCTTTTCATAAAAACATTCACATTATACCGGGATACAAGAATATTTAAATGTTCATCACACATGCATGTGATGGCGATTTTTCGTGAAAATCAACAGTACGATGGTGCAATTATACAATTTCATTTGCTATGGCATTGAAACTGGTGTGACACATATGAGTCACATTTATGACGTGTTACGTGTGTATGTACATATTCCATACGTATAGCGTCAAATCTCGCGTACATATGTACATTAAGATCCTTCGAGAATTCGATAGCTTATCATATTGCAATACATGATACACATATGTTACCCGTAACTCGATTCGCTTTCGAGTTGTAATCTACGTAATAATCTAATAAGTTCTAGCATAAATTTCAATATAATTTGACGTGTTTAGACATATTTAAATTACAGTGGTTTCCTGAAAAAGAATGAGGGAAGCAAATAGTGAATAGTGAAGCAAATATCTCTTCGCCAGTGATTAATACATAGTTTTCATTTTCTTAGTTATTCCATTGAAATCGAATTAGGAAGTTTTTTGAAGAAAGATTACGAAAATTAGTTAAGTGAGAAATATTGTAATACATATTTTGTACTATAGTATTTGGTGATAAGACTCTCTCTTTCGTGTACTTCTCTCTTTGTGTACTCATACATGTACAGGGTGTTAAGGTAACATACATGTCAGTACGACGGGTTGCCCATTCGGGCAGGCGCGCATGGTCGTTCATTACTGCGCGCTGAGTCGTCTTCGGCGAAATTATATCGCGAGATTAATGACAGTAAATTTGTTCAGGCACAACATGGATTTTGACTTCGTCATGACTCCATGTTGTGCCTGATCAAATTTACTGTCATTAATCTCGCAATATAATTTCGCCGAAGCCGACCCAGCGCGCAGTTGTGAACGACCATGCGCGCCTACTCGAATGGGCAACCCGTTGTACTGACATGTATGTTGCCTTAACACCCTGTACGTCATCGTACTGAAGTGGATTTTGTGTATATGAGTGCACATGTACGCGATTTAGATAATACTGACTTTATCAGCAGACACACACACACACACACACACACACACACACACACACACACACACACACACACACACACACACACACACACACACACACACACAGTCCGGGCAAGCAAATATTTGTTCTCTAATGATTAATTTTTATTTTGTTAAGATTGTTAGAAAGATTTTTTTATTTAGTCTTATTAGTCTTATTTAGTCCATTGAAATCGAATTAGGAAGTTTTGAAAAAAGATTACGAAAATCAGTTATTGTGAGAAATATTGTATTATCTACACTTTTTGTAATATAATATTTGATGATAAGATTCTCTGTCTGTGTTCTCATACATGTACGTGATCGTGCTGAAGTGGATTTTGTGTGCATGAATGCACATGTACGTGACATAAATAATACTGACTTTATCAGCAGACGTAGTCCAGGAAATCGAAAATTTTTGCGAACAAGATATCACACATGCGAAAGATACCACACGATCCCAGATAGGTACTTTAAATCAGCTAAAAATATATTTTGTAGAATACTACATATCTACAAATTTTATCGGCAAAGCATTAGTAGAAATATAACGGAATCTGCTAATGGCAGACTGACTGCAGAAACTGAGCAGAATCTGTCATTTCGCAATTATTTAAATAATATATTCCATTTAAATAATTATGGAATGATAGTCATGATAGATATCGCTTGGTTTCTACTGGTAACTGCAAACACGAGTTTAATTAATTAGAATACAGTTGACACCAATCGTAATGTTCTATTTGAATCTATCGGCAAATCTGCTAACATTTTACTTATTTGTTTCGAAGCTCGTAAATCTCTCTAAGTACCTTGTTTTTTATTTAAAAGTCGGATAAGAAGTCGACAAATATATATCGTGAAAATTGTTACAAGGTCATCTGAATGCTTTTTTTGTTCTTTGAAATTTAAATCTGTATCAGTCGCCGCGACAATTCGTTTTTCCATGTAAGTTTTTATCCAATAACAAGGCAACTATAACGTTCTGCTGAAAGTTTACTGCACTCACGGGTTTATTATTTGATTTATTCTTATTTCTAACTCGATTGCAGCAACATTAAGCCATTTTATGTGCGTGTTTGCAATGAAATCAGTTTTAGAGATATGATGCAAATGTAACGTTGCAGAATTGACACTTATGTAGATATAGTGGCTATTGCGTTTGTGCGAAACAATTATATGATATAAGCGAGATTGTATAGATTTTACGTGCGAAGAACAGTCGGTGCAAGCGGATGATTAAACGTCATATAAAATTCTAATTTGTCTTGTATTTCTGTGTAATAAATAGATAACAAAGGTAACAATTTAAATGAAACAAATGGAGCCACCAAGCTACACGTCGCCACAATACCCTTATCCGCAACCACCACCATCAATGCCGCCGACATCAATGCCACCACCACCACGTAAGTGTAAAATTACGAAAACAATCTTAAATAATAATCATATTATCTGATTGCGAGATTACTGCATACTTATGACATTTAATGCGCCTGGTATTGTTACAGACACGGTACACATTGTAGCGGGAGGGGGCCTCGGCAATGAGAGTCAGCATATGGTCTGTCCACACTGTCATGCTAATATATCTACGCGCGTAGAATCGGAAGCGAACATGAAAACACATTTGATGGCGGCGTTGCTCTGTCTGTTCGGGTAAGATTTTGATATATAGGGTAAAAGGATTATTGCAACAATGTATAGATAAATCCACCGTTCTTTCTTACAGATGCTGGTGTTGTGCCCCGTGTCCTTACTGCATGAATTCTTGCCTAGTTCAGAAACATTACTGTCCAGCATGTAGTTCTTACCTTGGTCAATCCGACAATTAGTCAACTCTACTTACGATAGAAATAGAAGATACTGCAGAATTATATTACCATCAGTCAGGATATACGATTCGTAACCCAGATAGCACACGTATAGTTCTATGAATATTCTTCTGGAGTGCAACAGAATATTCTACAAGTATATATAGATTATTACAATTAGAAATCGTATATTCGTAACAAAGAAGAACGTTTTTAGAATATTCGACGAGAATGTCTTTGGAATATTAGTTCAGAATAATTTTTTAATATTCATGGACTTTATGTATCGCACATTGTTCATTGTGTAATATCCTTATCTTATGCGAAAGACAGTGAAACCTGTGATCATACCATATATAACCGACACGCTATATTCGATAGATTATTCTATTCACATTCGAAAAAGATTTATAGCAGTGTCAGTCGAATGTTCCACGAACATAAGATAAATATATAAGAATGACCTATGGAATATTCAAAATATTTTTAAAATGTTCATAGGAGTGTCTTGTGCTATCTGGGAAAGGCTCCAGGGTGCAAACTGATATTATTTATCGTTATTAAGATGTTGAAATGTTGTTACGACATCAAAATGATAAATAACGTCAGCACACAACCTAGGGTATCATGTTTTTATCGCGGTTTTTCACAAATAAACCGTTGGAGAATGCATACATGTAAGTCAATCCAAAAAGTTCCATTGTTGCACACAATTTTAACGAATGTAAATGACGCACACAGATAGAATAGGGCGAAAGATTCTTACCCTTTTTATAAATATTGCTAAAGAGAGACTATACATAAGTTACATACGCTTTACATAACTGTTTTTATACTGTTCGTGGTATTTTTTTATCAAACTGTGATTTTGCACCATAAACAGAAATATTGTAAAAAAAATTAGCAATTCTTATAGATATACATATACGTATAATAAAAACCACTTTAAACATCTAAAGACATCTTTACGTCTATACTGTTAAATCCGAAGACGTCTTTATGTACTGGAGCACCATACTACTAATTATACTTGTACAGTATATACACAATATAAATTATACAATATCAATAGAATGCGAATAATTACGATGCACAATGGTTTAACTCTAGACATATACCAATTCTTTTTGTCTCCGATTAAAAAGGAAAATAACTAAAGTCATATAATTTACGGTAATTAAAAAAAAGTAGGCGAGTAAAATATTTTTTCATTTTTATATATTTTGCAATTGCTGTTAGATGACACTTCTGTATCTCGTACAATGTATTTCTAGCGTTTGTATTCTTTGACAAATTTATTTCGGTAATTTTTTTTATAATTTTTAATTACAGCTTCTTTTATGAAAATTTTTATTGGCGGTTTTGACAACCTGTTTCGCAATAGCTTTTATTTATGACAGCTTTCTTTTTTCACAATTTTTATTAACGATGGCTTTTTTACACGACCTGTTTCTTGCAGCTTTTTTTCAAGCCAGCTCTCTTGCAAGTTTCAACTAACTTTATTTCTCCTACTGTATCCTCTTTTTGTTACAGGTTTTGGCAGCTAAATTTTGCTCACATCTTTTATTTGAAAGTTTCAATAACTGTATTTTAATTTTTTCCACGGGTCTTTTTGTAAGATTTGGCAGTTATGCTTTCATGTCTTTCCTTCCTTATAAACTCTGGTAATTAATTTACTGTTTACGTATTTCTTGCAAGTTTCAGTTTTGTGTTGATTTAAGACTTGCTCTCATTGATACATAATAGATTTCTATTTTTAATCAGTTTCTTAATTCTGATAAAAGCTGTGTCTGTTTTTTATACATATTATTACAATGTCTTTTATATTTGGGTTATTTCAATAGCTCAGATCTTTTCATCCCGCACACATAACATTAATTTTATACTTCAAAAGTTTGAGAAGGTTTGACAACTGTTTATTTGTACTTGTTATAAATGTCACAAAGTTTGTTTTTTTTCGAACCTCAGCTCTGTTGCAACGATTCGACCCGCTTACGTACTGGCAGTAGGTTTGGGAAGATTCTCTAAGGCAATGCTTGTGGAGAAACGGTATCTTCTGAAAAACCTAGACTCCGTCACAAATTCTTATTCGTAGATCCATTTTTCAGACGCGTACGTCCAATCGACTACTTCTTTCTCGCCAAACCACAGGCCTATCTCCTTTTTAGCTGACTCAACAGAATCAGATCCATGGATGATGTTACGTCCGACTTGTATGCAAAAATCACCTCGAATAGTGCCTGGTGCAGAGTCCTTGGGATTTGTCTCGCCCAACATCACGCGACCAGTTTTTACAACGTTCAAGCCCTCCCAGACCTAAAACAGCGGTTTCATAAATATATTTTTTAAATGCATGTCATGGACGCAGCTCAAAATTAATTATTGCGTCAGCAATTTTTAATCCCAATTATTTTATAATTATTTGCGCAAGAAACTCACCATGGGTACAACTGGTCCCGAGCTCATGTATTTGACTAAACCTGGGAAGAAGGGTCTTGATGACAGATCAGCATAGTGTTGCTTCAAGAGATCTTCGGAAGGCTATAACGAAAATGACGTAGAATCTCGAGAAATATGGATGTTTCAGAGAAGATGCAAGGATAACAAGCTTCAGCAAAGAAAAGGGAACAATTATATTACGGCTTGTGTCCACGATGCTAGGTCCTAGGACTTGGTCCAAGTTCTAGTTCCGAGAGATCTGTAGCCAATCAACTCGCAGCTATTTCATAAAAGCTGCAAATTGATCGGCTACACATTTCTCGAAACTAGAACTTGGACCAAGTCCCAGCATCGTGGATACAGACCTTTATCCAAGTATCTTGTGTCCAAGTCGTCACATTTTAACGTTTGTTACGCCGATATACAATTCACTGTACGAGAGATTCCAAATTTTCACGACACCGTATTGCGTTCTTTCAATCAGTCACAAGTTGCAAGCTTCAAAGTAATGAAATTACAGAATTTTATGAGACATGAAACTGGTAACTTTAAACCTGAATTCAATACAGTCGATATATATATCTCGAAGAGTATCGTACGTGATCCACGTAGGACCACGTGGAGTCCAGCACCTTCGTAAAGTTGGGACGCGGGTGAAGCGTAATTACGTGCGAACCACGACTTACCCATAGCATTTTCATAGCCACCAATTTGAAACCCTTCTCTTCGAATCGTTGAATGATCTTGCCGACTAAACCACGCTGCACGCCGTCCGGCTTAACCATGATGAAGGTGCGTTCCTTGTTCTCCGCCATAATTAATTTGCAAATAACCTGTAGTAGAGTCGAGACGAAGCACAAGACCATACGGTGCCGGCGAGCCGCGAGGAAGTGAGGACGAGAAGCCGCGAGCCGTGGCAATTTATTCACAAAGGTGGGAGAGCGCGTAGTGACGTCACGAAGTGCCGGTAGCCGACGACGACTTGTTGTTCGATCAAATTTTAAGATTAACCGCAGTCGTTGGCCTAATATTATTTGCCGTACAAATGTAATGCCAGCCTTGTAAAGTGTTTAGACAAACATCAATCATCAAGCGTGGAAACACCCTGGGGCTTGATATTCTCGAATCGTTCGCGAAGGAAACGTAAAGCCTGTCACACAATGCCAGGCAACAGGCAACGGGAATAGTGAATAGAATTTTTCGCGCCTTGGATTCGTCGGAAATTTTCTTCCAACCAATCCGACGCGTCGGAAATTCTATTCCCTGCGCCTGTTGCCTGGGCATTGTGTTTGGGCCTTAAATTCCGCTCTAAAGCCCGCTGCAGACGATGCTATTTTTCCTGCTGGATTGCTTGCAATTTAGTAAATTACTAGGAATCCTGAATGCTGAGTGGTGCAATGATAGTAATTTACTAAATCGCAAGCAATCCAGCAGGAAAAATAGCATCGTCTGCAGCGGGCTTTATAAAAAAGTTGCAAGTTGATTAGTTATTTGTTTAGCCAATCGACTTGCAGCTTTTTCGTAGGTGTAGAATTTGCACATACATTTTTTTCTCTTGCGAATGACTCAAGAATCGCGAGCCTCCTACATAAATTTGAGTGAAGCACATTTACCTATTGGATAAATGAATAAAGCCCGCTGCAGACGATGCTATTTTTCCTGCTGGATTGTTTGCGATTTACTAAATTACTAGGAATCCTGAGTGCTGAATGGTGCAACGATAGTAAAATTTATTAGATTGCAAGTAATCCAGCAGAAAAAATAGCATCGTCTGCAGCGGGCTTAACTTAACATGGAGCGTAACCTGCGTAACTTGAAATAGTTGAAATAGTTCTGTGATTGGTGATACGAAGATTACGCTTACGCAAGTTACGCTCCATGTGAATCCAGCCTTAATCCGGATCATTTTGATTTTCTCGCGAAAGCAGTCCACATTCCTTTAAACTATAACAGATTTGAATTTCCCGCTTCACAAACCCCCCACGACAATTGGTTAGACGTGGCCGTATTGGATCCGGATGGAGCCAGGATCCAAGAACTTAATAATAATAATAATAATCAGTCCACATTCCTCTCAGTTATCTTCACTTTTCATGGTCAATGCAAACTTGCGGCAGTTGCGGCTACTCCACGCGATTTTTGTGGTTAATTACTCTCGAATTGAATTGGAGCGATTTATACTTTGATAAACCGCGTAGCTATCTCGTTATTTAAACCATGGCTACTTCGGTTAGCACAAATCCGTCTACGCTGTTGCCTTTGGGTAAAAGAATTCACTCATACTCTGACTAATGTTGCTGAATTGACAATAAATTGTATGATTTCTTGTAGAGTTAGTCGACAAGTGTATCGGCTCTCGGATACACATTATTATGAAAAATGATAAGGAGATTGTAGGAACGTTGCAAGGCTTCGACGATTTCGTGAACATGTTGCTGGAGGACGTTACGGAAAGTGAGGCGACGCCGGAAGGCCGCAGAGTTACAAAATTGGATCAGATTCTTCTCAACGGCAGCAACATTACAATGGTTATTATCGTTGACGATCGGTGATGCTTGATAGATCGGAGCATAATTTCCGACCCGTTCGAGAAAGAAGGCAAGGCGTACACATTTTTCTAATTGATTTATTCTGCTGCAGTTGGTGCCCGGTGGCGAGATGCCAGATACGTAAAACCGACTCTTAAGTCATCATCCTAAGCGCATTAGATTTAGTTCTAACGAGATTACGATGAAGCACTGACCAAGCTACTCTATCGCAAGTAAGATTCCTTATAAGCTCAATTTCGACTAAATAAATATTAACTGTTGATTACAAAAGATCAAGTCTACCGATTATTTCACCGAGCGAGGGTCTGTCCGCGACATTCTGCGACCACGCCGCTCTGAACAGTTCCTTGTATCTTCCAGCGAACTCGTCGTCAAGAGCTTCGTCTTTAGGACGCGTTCCTTTTACAGATATATATATGACGGTATGGATATGCAATCCATGAAAGGGTACTTCTCGAGACAGCATTTGCCAGGCTACAATTCCCAGTGAATAAATGTCGGCGGCGAATGTGGGTACGTCTCCTCGAAGTACTTCTGGTGCCGCGTAACCTGGTGTACCCTGAAGAGATACGAGTTTAGTCGCATATTTTTATAATATTGTGCGTGCGTGCGTAAACTATATCGTATGTGTATAATCTAGTGAGAATATTCTTAAGAGTCGCTAGCGGTAATTAACAACATCAATGATTGGGCATATCGGTGGTCGAATTGGTTGAGACGCCCACCTAGAGAGAAGGGAGTTCCAGGTTCAAACCCTGGCTGAGGTAATATTTTTCGCAATAAATTTTCTGTATTATAGAAATTGCCAGATACGGTCAATAAAAATCATTGATGTTATATTGTATGTGTCCTATTCTGTTAGGAACGTTTGTTAAAGTGTTTTTGAGTAAAGATTCAACGAGTATAGTACAGATATATATGTGCGTGCGTACTCGTGGTCTGATTGAGACATGTAGTTCGTCGACTAATATTGAACTACCGAAGTCGGTGAGCTTAGCTTGACCATTAGCTGCCATCAAGATATTTGTCGCTTTGACGTCTGCGTGTATCACGCCAGAATCGTGGCAGAATTGGAGCGCGCTGGCAATGTCTCTCCAAATGGAGACGCGCTCCTCTTTCGACAGGGCCGATTCCTGCAGCCTGTCCTGCAACGATGTGCCGCACAATTCCATCGTTATCAGCGACAAGCTGCTGCCTTGTTCCACGCTTAATATCTTAACGATGTTGGCGTGTCGCAAAATAGTCGCGTGCTTCTCCGAGTTTATCACTTCATCGTCGTTTTGTTTGCGTGGAATAATCTTGGCCGCCACTTGATCTCCTAAGAAATCGCAACGGCAGTAAACAGTGTATTTATACGTCTCTGTCGTCTCTCACGCGATTAGCTTCGGTACATTTGACAGAAAAATTTACTGTGAAAAATTGCAATAAGGCATACCTTTGTAAAACACCTTGTAGACGGTACCGAAAGCACCCGCTCCGAGTACGGAGCGATCTTTCCTCTGTAGACCGTGTTTGAGCAACTTGACTCTGTTAGGAGTATCGATATTGAACGGCGACAACAGGTTTTCGTCTTCCACCTTTCTTTCGCGAGTGTTAGTCGGAGTTTTTGGACTCGATGCTCTAATAAGTTATTACACCGTTTACGAACTTTTGTTCAAATAACAAAAGAGATTCTGCTTACTCTCACCTGACGCTCGATATAGCACTTCCTAGTGGCCGAGGTGACAGATGCTTCAGCGTGGACACTAATCTTCGCGGAGAAGCCATTTAGATAGCGATTACGATACGAACAATGATTTCTACATGTAGAAAGAAAGAACGTAGACTTTTTCTAATATACCATTTGTATAGAAAACGGTGAAATGACCACTACATCGCGTATACAGGGAAACACCTAGGACTTTCATTAAAATCCCAGTCTCTGTATACAAACACATCAAGGACAGTGAGGGAGCGGTAGATACGTATGGATCTGCGGAAATCACGCTCTCTCAACATTCGACACACGAGAGATTCGCGTCCCTTTTACATATCGAGATTTTAATTACAAGGTGAGAAAAATCGACAGGTAGAAGAACAAACTTCAAATAGAGTACAATTAAAATATGTTTTATTTCTTCGATTGCTAATTTAAGGCGTAAATCAACTGTCTATTGTCTATTGCTAATTATTTTCTTTTTAATACTGTACGTTAACTAGATTATGTACAATCGTACTCTATCGCTTCGTAACAATTCGCCTCGATAATCTTTTGTTACAATATCAACGATGATAGGAACGCATATAGGTGTGTATGTACGCGCGTACGTGTGCATCGATAATTCTCTCTAGATCGATCAAACATCTATTGTAATTAGAGGATTTGCATTATAAACTCGTCGCTAACGTTAAGTGCTCGGTTGTACCATTTTATTTTCGAGCGATTCTGCTTGCTATCACAATGATTAAGTATATCGCTTCCACTCTCCCTAGACTTCTGTTCATTATCGATTAATTAACAATCGACATAATTATAACAAGCGGAAACGACTTTATGGAAGTTTTAGTAAAATACTCTAATACGAATAAAAATACAATGTATCTTCTCTCTATATATATGTGTATATATATAATCTATTTGTTCGAAAATAGTTTATAGTTTTAGTTAAATATAATTCTCTCTTTTTCTTTCACCAGCCTTTATTCCTTACGATAATTCCGAACCGCTCTAGGTACATCGTCATCGATCGCTTCGTCTTGCTTGAAACGCGCGTCACTTCTCTCGGGTTTCAAGTCATAAAATTGAATTCAAATCATAATGTTTTATGAGTAAATACACGAATGCTTATCCAATAAGATTTACAGGACGTATAGATCGGGTCAATAGAGAGAATAAAATGTCGCAATTTCGACTTTATTGACCTGCGGGTCTTGAAATTCATTAAAGGATCCGTAAAACGGAAGATTCTACCACGGAATTCAAAGATGAAATGGACTCTTATTGAAAATCAATGGATTAGATGATTTGCATAGATATAAAAATACGTAAGAATTATCCCATTTTTAAGTGCAATTGCGAATAAGTACCTGTGCAAATAAGGGAGACATGAGAATTATACATGTGTTTTTTAAGTAATTATGTAGTAAGTTTCTTTGTACAGTAAGATAGTTTCTTAAGTACTTGTAACTGTAAAGATATGTATATAGGTAAATACGAATCAGAAAAATTGAAGAATTTAACAATATGTATGATAAAATTTATAAAAGCAAAGATTATTGGGGCTTCAAAGTCTAAGATTAATATGAATTTGTTAAGTATGATTCGTAGAATCGATGATCGATGGAATCCTTAAAATCAAGAATCAAAGAACAAGTGAAGATATTTGCAATCAATACATTCGCGATTCAATATATGATCCGCGTATATGTAAATTTCAAGATCTACATGTGTAGAGAGGCACAATTGTGAAAAAGAGGACAAAACGGTGGAACTTTGAAAGTCGGATTTCGCGAAGGTTCATAAACTATCATGTATATCTTTGAAAAATTTAAGGACTAAAGTAACAATATGTGTTTACCTTATATGTATATCCAAGAAAAGAGAAAAAGGAACGATTTACAAAAACGTTTATCTCTCGAAAATCATCACTAGCCAAGCATTGTCCTCGTAACATTTTGATTTGGCACTATCCTTATGTGTGCCATTACGTAAGCTTCTCCTGAGTATCGCATCGTCAAGCGCAAATATCAGGCACTCAGAGGCACCGGTTTTCCACTTAATTTCAAGAATGTAAGCGCATTCGCCCCATCGTCCATTAGGCGTGTATGAGTAACTCAATCATGTCAAGATATATGGTCAAGCTATTTACATAATTTTATGACAAAAAAAATAATTAAAATGTATAGGCAGATATAATATTAATAATTATTAATGAAAATAAATATTCGTGCGTTCCAAAATTCGTGGAAAAGTGTAGAATAAAAACTGCAAAAACAAAAGAGAATAAAAAATTTGTGCAAACGAGATCAAACAGTCCCATCTTGACTGTTGACAATCCTTTCTGCATTAATATACCTTACATGACATATATCTTATGTAACTACCGTTTAGACAACTCCCTATCAATGGACCCTATCAATGGACGTTATATGTAATGTATACGTATATGTACATATACATGCATAATCTAATGAAAATAGAACTCTGTACTTGTTGTGAATTGGCGCTAGATAAGGACTTTGAGACCCTGATGTGAAATAGGTATATACAGGGTGTAGGATTCGTTTTTGACCATTCCAAAGATTATAGTAGATTGGGTCAAACTGAGAAGAAAATTCTCAGGATCCGATAGTGAGAGGTGGAGTCATGCATCAATCGATGAGGACGGCGTGGAGCGGGGAGCAGCCAACGGCGATTGACGCGCGGATAGCTCTCGCTGTCGGATTCTGAGCCATATCAACAAATATACCATTTTGCATGTCTGCCGAGTCCGGCCTTCCGCTCCTCCGTGCGCTTATTCACTCAGACGTTTTTCTTAATTACACGAGAATTATTATGAATTTTGCAAAATGGTATATAACTTTTCTTCTCAGCTTGATCTAATCTACGATAATTTTTGGAATGGTCACAAACGAATTTGACACCCTGTATAAGTAAATAATTTCGAAAAATACATGGTGAATGCATTTAAAGAGAGAGGAGATATATATATATGTATATGCCATGATATCCATTAAGGCACAGTCTAACCAGGTAGAGGAGCCTCCTCGTAAAAATCTAACTCGTCCTCGACTTCGTGTTCGGGTCCCTTACTGTCAAGGGCGCGTAGCTCCGCGGTGGTGAAGAAATGGCTCATTTGAGCGCGCAACGGTATCATCAGGATAAGGAAGAAGGGTAGGGCCAGAGCGGCTCTAGTACTCTTGACAATCCACAATATGACTAGGCATAAGATCTGTATGGAGGTGAAGATGTGCATCTTATAGGTTTGCACACGGCGCACGTAGTTTGCTGTGCCGTGGTGCTTGACTGGCATGAAAAAGAGCTTGATGCGGTCAAATAGTTGCACTCCGTTCGTCGACGAGATACCCATGTAGAGGAACACACCAAGAAGGACGGACATCGGTACCCGTCGCAACAGCGGTGCCATCAGCACGCTCACGCCAATGAGTATTGCGACCAGTAGAGCGCTCACCCGTTGCTCCTTTACTTCAACGATGTGCGGCTTGTCACCAGGAGCGTGAGTGCGTGACATCACGGTGACGGCGGATACGTGGGTGAGAGAACGTACCGACGCGGCGGAACACCAAGGTGCACCCATCAAGCCACATCCTACGTTCATCAGGCAGACCACTACGATGTCCATGTGATAGCCATTGCCCTTTCGCAGCTTACGCTCCTTTTTATCAATGATCAGTCTGTAAAACGGACAAGGTGGTTAGGTACAGGTGGATCCAAAGCACGGGCAATTAGGCAAATAATCTAATCTACTAGATCTACTTACTCCGATATTTGAGTCTCCATAAACACCAGAATGTAAACCAGCAAAGCTGGCACCACGCAAGCCAACGCCATCCAAAGCGGTATGGGTTTCTCGAATCCGACGGGGGACACGAACCAATTTCTACCGGGTATAGTTGGGGACAGTCCTTCGGGAACCAGCAACTTCTCCGTTTTTACCGTAAATAAATAGTCGATCAAAACGAATACGATGATGCTAATAGGCACGCCAAAGTCTCCGAAGGCTCTTCGAGCACTACGGCCCAAGTAATGGCTGTTGCGGAAGATCCTTAAGTAATAGGCGCCCAGGAAAGTACCCAGACAAAGGATAGTACACATCAAAGCTGTGTTGGGCTGATTGATTGACAGACCGGCTACGTCGTGACTCGGTACCAGTTGGCTAACTTCCTGCAAGCGGTATATTTCCTCGGTTTCATTCCACGGTGATCTAGTGACTTTCATTTCGGTAACGTAGAGCGGATAGGTTGTGTCATTGATGTCCGGCCCAAAGCTGTACTCGTGGAGAAGAGGATTGCGCACGAAGTAGTTGTAAAGCTTGATGAACGTTTCAACGATATAAAGGATAGAGATCAAACCAGTGAAGATCTCTTCGGTGAAGCGCGTGAAGAGTCGCACGAGGACCGAACCCTCGACGCAGGCAATCGCTAGGGCGATAATGCCCATCCAGGCGCCAACGTATACCCGTACAGTAAGAAACTCAAGCTCGTTTGCCAGGCAGAAATTGTATAGACTTTCGTCGAAGAGTAGCAGAGGACCAGTTGTGCCGATGATCACCAAAGGTTGAGTGGCAAACAGTGCCATCACTATGCCCGTCCACGAACCAGAGACCAGAGTTTCGGAGATGCCTATAACGTTCTGCGTCTTATCGCTCATCAGGCCGCCGAAGGTGATGGCGGTGCACAGCGCAGCGAAGTACATAAAGATGGCTGCTGCGAGGCAGGACGAGTTCAGACCGTCCGTGAAATCAGACAAATAGAAGGGGTAGCGACGTTTAATATCGTTGATGAGACAGCCGAATGGTCGTCTGGTACGTCGTAATGGATCGTCGTCGTCCTCCGGTGGCTTCTTCTCTTCCTCGCCGGCGAGAAGAGCTATTATACATTACATTGTAAGTAATATTTAAGTAAGGACGAAAGAAGAACAAATTTTAAGAATTGAAAGATAAATGTTCAACACCGCTGAGACGTTTAAAGAATGGATTTGAAGAAATTACCCTTTTTCACAGCCGCTTCACTTTGCTCTGGCTTGCTCTTCTCCTCGAGCGCCTTTGCCTTCCGCTTCCTGATAGCCTCGCTCTTCGCCTTAAGTTCGCCGAACGGTAGCAAAGCCTGTCTCTCCCAGTCGCCGGGTGGTAGTACAATTGAATCATCTAGGAACTCGTTAATAGCCGAGAGCAATTCTCGTTTCTCGTTGGCCTTGTAAGCGACTTTATGGAACGACGTGTTCGCCATCAGAGTGGAGATTGACCGGCCGATTTCGTGATAATCCAGGTCTGCGTTTCTCGGCCCCAACAGGGTAAACATGAATCTGACCGGTATCTTGACTTCGGTGATGGACGGCATAAATACACCTTCGGCCAATCGTACAAAGGCTATCGTCGGCTGATCCAGAAAGTCGACGGCGCCAACAAGTACGACTGTTGCCTCAGCGCCGGCTGGAATTCTCTTGAGGATGTAGTCGTTATGGCCCTTCTTCAAGTCTTCATTACTACTCATGTACGTTAGTTCCTCCTTGATGTCGACCACCGTGTGATTACTATCGAGCGCCAGGTTCGACGATACGATCTTCGGCTTCGCATCGTGCAGATTCTGTCGGATGTTTCGAAATTTTTATTAAACAATCTGAGGACCTTTAAATTCCGAAGAAAGACTACATACGTAGATCTTCGGTAAGAAAATTCAATCGGTTGTTTCTCAATATCTTGAAACTAGAACAACCTATGTCATCGAGCGATTGGAACTAATTGTAAGCAAAAGAGCAAATTAAGAGAGATGAGTCTATTAGTTACGATACAAAGATTATAAATATAAACAGTCAAAATAATAATTTTGCAAACGTAACTTACTTTTCACATAAAAAAAATGTAAAAAAAGCATACAGAATTTATTTTAACTTGTAGAGTAAACTTCTAGAGACATCTGTTCTTATCTAATTTCATGATATTGTTTAACATACGAAGAAAAATATGTTTAAACTAATAATAATAATAAATTTCCCATAAAAATGCAAGCTTATTGATTTTGTTCAAGTTTATAAGAATTAAGCAGAACAAAAATATACAATAACAAAAGAGTACGATTGTTCTTTTCGTCTCAAGTACTTCGTGATTATGGAAGATATTAATCGAAATAAATATCTCGCGACAAGTAATGAATTTTGTGATAGAAATAATAACAATGGTAAAGTGAGAAAACCGCAATGTAGCGTACTCGTGGATGCACACAGGAATGCTTACAGGATAATGCACGAAGATACGCTATAAATAGAGAGAGAGATTGATCCTTTTGAGATTACAATAATTAAAATAATTTAGCTGCACTAATTGATATTGCAAGAGATAAGAAAGTGATCATATCTTCGTGATTTGCTCCACGATAAAACGAATGAAAATTAGGAAAAAAGGAATAACTATAAGAGTAACATTTTAATCACTAGTGTATAGAAGCGCGACATACGATCACAAGCGTTTGTAGCCGCTATCGTTCGGTAAACGGCACTATACGAATATTTCTAGAATCAATTTAACCCAGGCGGGTCTAGGACCAGTCGTGCTAAAAAGGCACCTGTGAAGACGCAACACAATGGAAAAACTGCAAGCCGTAGGAACGCGCTGCGGTAGTCCTAATTTAAGCTACGAAGTAAAATTGTAGCATTTATCTATCGCGGAGGTAACTATGAAGGACATGAAGCAAAACACTGACTCCGCTTAAATAAGCTTTTCACTAGTTTCCATGTTAAGACTAAATTGCACAACTAATATGGACTTTAGGTTAAGCTAAGATTGTCATTGTCAAAATGACTATTTTAATCAATCTATAATACATAGGTCTACCTGTCTACTCTAGAACTAACGATAATATAGCGATAGATGTTAATTTTGTATTAATGTTGTACGATCGCAATATGATTAGGCATATAAAATGCACAAAATATTAAACCAGATTAAAGTATTCGAAATATTGACCCAATAAATTGTTGTTCCATGTTTTAAGACTGATATAATAAATTCTTAAGTAAAAGATTTTACAAAATCGACATATATACGCTGATTGCTCCGTAAGTTCATGCCGGATTTACTTTAAAAAGTACATAAAAATTCATATGAGAAGTGCGAGCGAACAGAGTGAGGGACTAGAGTAGAATAGAAGTAAAAAAAACTGCGTTTGATTCGGGAAACGAGAGATTTACATGTTGGGTTACATGGTTCTCAGCGGCTTCCCGCGCAGCGTCTTCTTCCTCCAGCCAGATGGACTGTGGAAATAATATTAGCACTGTCAGTTAAACCTATTCCCCGCTACCACCCGTTGCGACTACTCACTACTGATTGCTCAATCGCGCTCGATACATCGCCCCCGCAGGTGATCTTCAACATTTCTATAAACTGCATTCGTATACAATAAAAGTGATTTATTTCCAAGTCTCAAGTCGCGAGTACGGTAAAATACATTCATTACGCATTCAGCATTCATTACAGTCATCGCGATTATTTCCTGTCTTCGATCACGAGATTCGAAATGTGCAAACTGCATTGCAAACCCAGGGTTTTGCAATAGTTCGTGGAGCTCAAAGTGAGATGGAATTCATCGAATCTAATTTATACAACAACCCTGAAGCTTGTAAACACGGGCTTATTACCTGTGGTGCAATAGATTATCACTCTCCACTTTTCATCGATGCTTACTTTCCGACACAAGCAACCTCGAAGCGAATCTTAGTCAAGAGTCGGCCGTTTTCGTGCGCACGATACATGTTATGCAAAGGGTATCGTCATTACGAATTACCTGAAGGCTGGTGTAACTGGAATAGCTCCTCTTGCCGCCGAATCTGAATCCACGTTCGTGCTCGTGCACGTGCCTGTGCCTGAGCAGTAACGCTCTCATCACAACTGGTCTGTCCTGGGCCAGAATTAGCTCTTCGATAACCATTTGCTCGACTACTCTGTAAGCCAATCCAGGTAGATCTTTCTCCTCCAGATCAAGGAGGACCACGCCAGTTTCTAGACAACGGCGAAGATTCAGCAGTGAATGGAAGCTAAGGGAAGCCACGTGAGGTCTGCCCCATCTGTCAGCACCCTCTTCAACGTCCTCCTCGTATTTAATCCACCTAGCGGTCTCTCGCCATTCGCGTTCCTCACCCAAGCCGTGTAACTCGTCCAGCTGGACAAATACCTCGTGCGGCGAGTGATCGTACATTTTCTTGAAGGTGTCAAGGGGAATACCGCCATCCTTCCGCCGGCCAATCTGTACTGTTAAATGAGCGGCTTTGTGCCGGCGCATGCCACGCGGGTCGTCACTACGATGCGACTCCAGATCGTCGATGTCGAGTTCCTGTAAGGTGCTCGCTTCTTCTGGTTGAACGCTGACACGTCGAGTCAACAAACTGGAACTATCTGGAAGACCAGCTCCCGATCGTTTCCGCCATTGCGGATCCTCCTGCAGAGAGTATTTGCGAGATTTGTGATGATGACGTCTGGAAGAGTAGTTGATAATGGAGCGGTTAGTTAAATCCTTTTGTAGGAAAATATATTTAAATTTTGTATAGAGAAAGAGGGAGAGTAAAAGAGGTTCTCCATGTTCGCGCGGTATCATATAAAAAAATGAAGAATCAATCAGCCACCGAACGTGCACGTGCAGATTTGCCAATTTTGTCCTGAGATAATCGTTATAAAGAATATGCACTTACTTCATATTTTGAGTAGCCCTAATCATGAGACACGGTAGTGTGTTGCACCAAGTATAAGCGTAGCTAGAACCGCGCGCGCAAGACCGATCGTGTATAAGTTTCTTATTGTTATGATGCTTCAACACAGATCTCATAATTTTTAACTTATTTATTATAAACATGATAATCTCTTTAGGTTGCCAGTAATAAATAACAATGGATGTACAATGTCTACCATGGCCCGAGAGTGACTGTCAAAAGTGTCAGTGTGATAAAATGTCTAGGTCAAACAACGAGAAGGAACGGGAAATAAATAGATATATAAATAAATATTTAAATTTTATTTGTAATTTTATTTGTATCTATGATAAGCGTTGTAATTCCGATTATTCGTTTGTTCCCTTTTAGAATTTGTGCTTGATAAGGACCCAAACCCGTGGTCGAAACATCGCACGTTATATTTTTAATTTTTAATTTATTAAACAAGTGCCAGTCAAGGTCGACTAAACTGATCCATTGTTATTTATTATACATGCTTCTTCTCTTTGAGAAGACTT